AATTTGTTAAATTGGTTAAATTTGTCAAGTGTCAACACGGGCAACCTCTGGGTCAACAACTAGAGACCTGATACCTCATAAAGTTACACGAAACAGCCGAAAACATGGTTCAACTTTATCATAATTTAGTGTATTCATTTATTTGCCCAAATTTACTCTTGACAAATTTAACCCATTTCATACTTAAACAATTGTTGTTCAAATAATTTGATAATATAAATACCATATAAACTACAACTGTGTTTGTCGTATCCTAGCCGGCCTAGAGAGCCCTGGTATTGGGCGAAAGGCCTCGTCGACAATGTGTTTGTTTGTTTTGAATTTTGCGCAAAGCTACATGAGGGCTATCTGCACTAGCAGTCCCTAATTTAGCAGTGTAAGACTAGAGGTAAAGCAGCTAGTCATCACCACTCACCACCAACTCTTGAGCTACTCTTTTACCAACTAATAATGGGATTGACTGTCACATTATAACGCCCCCACGGCTGAAAGGGCGAGCATGATTCGACAACGTGCATAATCGACATAGTGTGATTAACATATTATTATACACTCTTCTTTACCTTCACTCAGAAGTCCGTATTAATAATTAACAACGCCACCATATGAACCAAAAAGATTTGTGACCAAATGTACAAATATGGTCAAAATGGTTCTCGTTCCAGTGGAGCAGGTTTCTGGATACGTACAAAGTTTCATGTTACACGACTTCGCTAAACTTTTGTTCTTTAATTACTACACGAACTAGAGAGATACGTCACGTGATACCAAAGTTCTAGGTTAAACTCGTGAAAGTAGGAATTGGTGTACGGTTAAAAACAAACCGTTAACATTTTATTTAACAAAACATTTGGTTAACCAAAAGTTACCGATATGAATTCTAGTCTTATCACCTGTTTTCGTAACTTAATAATTCAAATTAAACGTAACCATGGTAAAAGTCCGTTATTAGCCTACCCCTCTTTTAATTAAAAAACAATAATAATAACACAAGTTAATTTAACCTCAACACGAATACTGATAATGTATGTACACAACACTACTTTTTAAGAGTAAAAGAATTTCAGTAAGTAACTTGCTTTGTGGACATGGTGTTGCACCTAAAAATGCCCAGAATAGTAATTACCGGTGCATTTTTATGCCCCGATTCCGAAAACAGTTTTTCCCGAATGGTTTATTTTTTCAGATAAATAGGGCCCTAAATATTTAAATTTTATTTGACAGTGTCAACAAGTTTTAGACATTTTTTGTGAAA